CCGTGACGTTAGCTCCTCCTGTGCGGGAAGCCGCTTCCAGGGGTCGCCACGACAACAGTCTATTTTAGCCCCGTTGTCACCGGAGACGGATGGTGTCTCAACGCCCCGAGGACAATGGTGCACACACACACACACACACACGCACACGCACACACACTTTGTGCACTTTGACTCTTGTGAGGTTCCTCTCTTTGTGGAGGAACAGTGCAGAGCGCCAGTTGTTATTCACCGAGTCAGCGTTTCACTCACGATGGACGGTCTAAATAAAGAAAAGGATTCTTCCTTTAAACCCTTAAACCTCTCATCTTCCCTCTCTAGCTGCCTAATGAAGGCTCCTTGGCGCTGGTCGTGGTCCTCATCGTGCTGCAGGGCATCACTGGCATTTCCTTCGGCCTCGTCATCTCAGCCGCCATCGACGACGAGCAGAGCGCCAACCAGGCCGCCCTCGGAATCTTCTACCCCAACCTCATCCTCAGCGGTGTGTGTGTGTGTGTGTGTGTGTGTGTGTGCGTGCGTGTTACACCGTCCAGCAGCTCTGGACAGAGCAGTGGGGGACATGTGACCAGGGGGCCGTGCTGTAACAGCAGCACCTGCGTGTCCTGTGCTTCCAGGTATCATCTGGCCGGTGGAGTGTGTCCCGTATCCTCTCCGCTACGTCAGCATGGCTCTTCCTCAGACCTACGCCTCCGAAGCCCTTCGCTGCATCATGTACAGAGGTATTTTTGATGATATGTTTATGTAATGCACCAAGAGTTCCTTGTCTGTAAAAACATTTTATACTTTAGCATAAGGACCAGAAACCGGGGAACCGATTATAGTATCAACAAAGATTGGCTTTACTGATGCTCCCGGTCGGCCGGTTGTTAGCTGTTTCCGGGCCTCCATGGTAAGCTAAGCTAACATGTCCTGCAGCGCGGGGCGCCTAACGAGTCTAAAAAAAGGTGAGCGTAAAGCCCCGCCTCCCCCACAGGTTGGGGTCTGTCCCAGATGATGGTGTGGCGAGGCTTCGCCGTTACCTTGGGCTGGAACACCTTCTTCCTCGTGCTGGCCACGGTCATCCTGAAGCTCAGGACGTGACGGCGCTCTCTCCGCCTCCCTCGGGCCTCCCGCCTGCCGACGAGTTGCCAAGCAGCGGCTGCACGTCAAAGCACAGGAGGCCGAATACGTACATGCACAAGGTGAAAGTATGTGTTGGACACCTCGTGTTCAATGAGGAACCTGTTTTGTTTCTATGTGCAGCTTGTCGGAACTTTTCGCCCTCAGAAATGCACCAGCTCAGGGTCACGTGCTTCCATGCGCCGGCCCCTCCCTTCATGCGCTTTGAGCGTAAACTACAACTCTACTGTACATCTGCATTATAGAGACGTTGTATGTACGTATGAATATGAGTCTGAGCACAAAACATGTTGTTGTCTCCAAGAAAATGTGAAATAATATGTCATCGGTTTGCTTCACGTTGTTGTTGCTTTGCGTCCTGTGAACCAGTAAAGCGTTTAAAAGTACGGACCTCTGCAAATGGTCAAAGACGTTCTCCTCGTCATCGTTTTTCAGTTCAGGCTGATGGCGTCCTGCCTAACTCGTGTTTGTTGCCTGCTGGACTGCTGGGTGGTTGGATTTGCTGGCGTGAGTGCAGGCTGCTCTTCTCACAGCTGAAGCTCTTCAAGCCGTCTGATAAATACGTTCTTTATTTTCAAAACTTTGTTGGCATAAAGCACACAGGAGGAGTTCTGTTCAGGATGCACAGTCCAGTAAGGAGGAGTAACACGCACTCCTAACAATAAAGCTGCTCAACAAGAACCCTTTAGGTTCTTTGGTTCTCAGTTGGTTCCACCTTTATAGCTAGAGCCACCTGTGAGAGGCTCCAACCAGAACCCTGTTTCAGATTGTAAGTTATCTACTCCTGTTGCATTGGAGGTACAATCTGCATATCTCTAAATCGAGGGGCTCCCTGTCCTGTTCGTCTGCGCCCAGCAGCCAGTAGGCCTGCTGCTTCTACAGCCGAAGAAGCAGCAGATTTAGCATCACACGTTGTGCCATAAAAAAAGGGGTTTGTATGCCTTTACATTAATCTGCACGCACGCCAAGCACACTGGAACATTTCGTTAATGCGTTTAAGTCGGAGGAATCAAACGCTTACACCAGCATATGTTCCAAAGTGTTTGTATTACATATTGTTTATATCAAGGCGCTGATTTGCTCTGTGTTTCCCTCAATGGGAGAAACGGAGGCTCTGCGCTGGATGACGTCGTGGTCTCGCGCTGGCGTTAAAGGGTGAATGTGTGCGTTTTAAGGGACGTTGTGTTGTTTGGGATAAATATGTGAGGATGTTATGAGGTTTTTTTTATCTGAGCGAGTTCTTTGTGCCCAACTCGACTCCCCATGAAGTGCAATCTCAGCGCTTACGCCAACGTATGCACAAGATTTGGTAATATTGTGAGTAACCTTTTTAGTTTTCTCTGGGTATGTAATCTCTGCATGTTTTTGCGAATTTGCTTCAAAACCTACAAAACTGACTCACTTTGATGTAAAAACATCCTGTGGAAATGATTTTAAAGATGTACATGAACTGCAATTATACTACTGACACAGTATTTCAAAATAAATCTAATTACATTCTTTTTAAACAAAACAAAAGAGAACAGAACAGAAATGTATCATACCAACAGCTGAATGAGGATTTCGGTGTTTAATTGGAATTGTGAAACTTGAATAAACGACATGAGAACTGCGTGGTCTCGTTATGTGGGTCTCGTTGGGCAGCTCACACTCCCCCCCCCCCCCCCCCCCCGCAAGGGGGGGAGAACACCCCAGTATTTGGTGGGGTGTGGGCATTCAAAGGGGGGGCAGAGAGAGGCCCCCGCGTGCCCCCCTCTTCCTTTCGGCTTCCCGACAATTGACGGGGGGTGATTTTCCCCCCGCGGTTTTGGCGTCGTTGCACCGGTATGTGAGAGGCAGTATTGTACATGATTGTTGTCTTGTCGACGGGAAAGAACACTCAGCGCACCACGAAGCACTGGAAGGATAGGTGTTACCTCT